CACCTCGTCCCCAGGACCCCAGACCTCAGGATCCCATCCTTGACCCATCGACCCGCCCCTCCCCAACCCTGGTCCTAGTTCGGGCCCATACTCAAAACATACCAAAACATGTTCGAAAATACTGCAAGCATCGTCCCCTGACTATTTCTGACAATTGCTTACTACTCCTCCTGTAGAGGGACACGCCCAACTTAACCCTGGTCACGTCTCGATTCGCGCCGGCGCCGTCCGGGAACGAGCCACCTCAAGCATGCCTGGACGTCGTCGCCAGCGCGAGTCGTGACGAGATCGGCCCCTCCCCTCTGCCCCTCCGGTCGCGCCTGAGATCGCCAAGGGATAAAACGTCGGGAGCGGCAAGAGGGGGGTGCCCAAGAGGGGGGAGGGCAGATCATGACCGGCGGCATGTGCGCGGCCCAGTGGGGGGGCCAGGGGCGTAATGAAATAAGAAGAGGCGCCATGAAATCTGGGGAAATATCATGGCCCCCGCCATGATATCCCCCCCCCCCCTAATCATCACCCCCCTCTTTGCCGCCCCCGAAAAAGAAACACCCCGTGGAGGCACGCGGGGAGGGAAAGGCCGCCGCGACGCCGTCGTCGTCGTCGTCGTCGTCGTCGTCGTCGTCGTCGTCGTCGTCGTCGTCGTCTTCGTCGTCGTCGTCGTCGTCGTCGTCGTCGTCGTCGTCGTCGTCGTCGTCGTCGAGGTTTGGGGGCCGCCGCGACGCGACGCGGCAGTGCGGCCGCGCCGCGCGCCGCGGCGAGCCTGCAGGTCGATGAAGCTCTGGTACCTCGGCGCCGGCGGTCGGTGGGGGGAGGCACCTCTGAAGGGGCCCCAGGACACGCAAATAAATACATGCGCGCGGAGCGGCCCCTGGGGACCCCCGGACGAAAAGTACCCCGGCAAGGTCCCGAGAGAAGCCCGGGAGAAGCCACCAGACCACTCCAGGGGAGGGTATTTTTCGACACCCCTCACGAGGATCGTGGCCTCCGAGGGGGGAGCCGCAATCGACTACCCCCAAGAGCCCCCCAAGAGGCACTGGGGGCCTCCAAAACGCCGCCAAGGAGCCCCAAGAGACTCCTAAGAGGTCCCCAAGAGGCCCCCAAGAGGCCCTAAAGAGGGATCCAGGGCCGGCGGCATGAGCGAAGCGATTAAATAAATACATGCAAATAGAAGGATTCCCCCCTATTTTCCCATACTTTCTGGGTTTCTGTCTTCCCCCCCCACACTTCCCACATTTCCCTCAAATGTTCGGGAGGACCGACGATGAATTGTGACTGTGCGTCTTTCCCTCCTGAACCTCAACACAGTGCGAAGGATTGCAACAAAAACCAAATGATTGCAAAAAACCGAGGAATTGCAACAAAAAACGAAGGATTGCAACAAAAACCCTTTTTGCAATCCTTCGGGTCGTTTTGCAATCCCAGGATTTGTTTGCAATCCTTCGTTTTTTTTGCAATCCTGGGTTTTTGTTGCAATCCTTTGCATCCCTCGTCCACCCGCTCCCCACTCCTCTGCCTCCTCCTCCCTCCCTCTCCTGCCCTGCGCGCCCCGCCTGCCCCCGGCCTCCTGCAGCGGACGCGCGGGGTGGACCTGGCCGGCCGCGCCCCCAGCGCGGGCGCCTCCGAGCGAGGCCGCGCCCTGCGCCCGCGAGGCGGCGGTCGGGAGCGGCCAAGAGGGGGGTGTCCACCTCCACCTCTGGAAACCGCTTTTCGCAAGGCACCTCGGGAAAAGGGTGTCGTCAGAAACCGGTCTCCTACACTTGCAGTGCTCCGCGCGGAGCTCCTGGAGCTGCGCCAGACCCCCCTCCCTGGCGCGCGGAGCGCGCCAGGGGTGGCGCCGGAGGCGCCACTGGTCGGGAGCGGCTAAGAGGGGGTGTCCAAGAGGGGGGGGGTGCAAATCATGCCCGGCGGCACGTGCGCGGCCCAGCGGGGGGGCCGGGGACGTGAGGAATCAAGAAGAGGCGCCCTGAGATCTGGGGAGGTATCATGGCCCCCGCCATGATATCCACCCCCCCTAGTCATCACCCCCCTCTTTGCCGCCCCCGAGGCGGGGGGCGGCGCCGGGGAGGCGGGGGCGGGCGGCGGGGGTCGAGCCCGCCACGCGCCCCACTCGCAGCCCGCCCAGCCAGAGCAGCGGGGAGCGGCCGCGGCCGAGGGGGGCCTCGGAGCGGCAGGCACGGCGGCCGCGGCGGCAGGGAGCGGCAGGGGCAGGCGCCCCACGGGAGCCTGCAGCAGCCCCAGCAGCCTGCAGCAGCCGCGCAGCAGCCCCAGCCTCGGGGGCAGGCAGGCCAGACGCTGTCGAGCATACTCGAGAGTTCGGCATCGGCGTGCGGGCTGCGACGTGGAGACCCTGTCAGGCTGCACTCGCCATCGCTCGGACGTCCATTCCCTGTGCTTTTTTCGGTTTCGTGCGTGGTTTTTTCGCCAAATGATCGAGGATGCTCCCCGATGGTCCTCGCCGAAGAAAAAAGGCACACGTCCGAGCGATGCCGAGTGCAAGAGGCACCGATGCCAGTGGAGCTGATAAAAGCAGTCATACCGACGGTGACACGCGCGGTGTGGAAGAATGCGCAGGACATGGCGGATCTGGAGTCGGTGATCTCCTCGGTTGCGCACCTGAAGGCGGACCACGAGGTGTGCGCGACGATGAACCTCACAGGCCACTGCTACGTCTAGGAAGCGACTCGCCTCCACCAGCAGCACCGCCAGGAGATCGGCGAGGGCCGAGTCGTAGAGGAGCTCGACAAGTTGGGGGTACCACATCCTCACTTGTGGTTGGACTTGGTGGGCGCACTGCAGCAGAGAGGGTGCACAGACCGCTGTGAAGATAAGACAGTACATGGACGGCATCAGAGCGGACCAGACGCTCACCAACGTTGCGCTCGCAAGGCAGGTGAAGAATTGCCAGGTGAGCTACACGCACGGCAGGTCGGTGATGAAGATCTTCCTCGAAGCCAAACCGACGGGGCTCCAGGCAGAGGTGCTGCCCGCGCTGGTCCAGTGCGGCGCCTGCATCAAGAAGGGCAATCAAGAAGGGCACCCCGCCAAAGAGTCATCAGGAGCAGCCTCTGCAGCTGGCGAAGGACGGCCTCGAGAACCTCTGACGCTGAGGATGAAGAATCTGGAAGCGAGCTCGAGGCGGGACAGGTGGACAGGCCGGAGGCCCTGAGAGAGGCCCGAGAGGGAGGAGTGAGCCTCGCCAGCCGCGGCGTCGTGGCCTCGCTCGAGCTGGAGCTGCAGGGCATCCCGCACGTTGGGGCGGGGACCCCAGCCTCTCCCGGCTCCCTCCCCCCCCGCGCCGTTGTCGGCGGCGTCCTCGCGCCGTCTTCGGCCTTGCCTCTCCTCCTCCTCTGCACTTGATGACGCGATGCATCGTTTCATCCATGGGTCTCGGACCCATCCTGGGGCCAAAGAACTGTTCCCCCGCGTTGTGCGTCGTGTGCTCTGAGACTTGCTTTCGTTGTGCTCCGTTTCGTTCCTGGAGCCTGCCTCAGAGACTGGCGGCCTCCTGGTTTAGTCTAGTTTAGTGTTGTCGAGAGCTGAGGCGTGGCCCTACCTGATGAGCGCGTTTTCCACCACCACCACCATAAGTTGGATGGGGCGAAGGGGGAGGAGGAGGAGGAGGAGGAGGAGGAGGGAGAGAGGGAGGGGGGAGGGAGGAAGGGAGGTAGGAGGGGAGGAGGGAGGAAGGACCCCCCCTCCAACTTTTGGTGGTGGTGGTGGAAAACACGCTCATCACTACCTCAGCGAGATCTCCGGTCTGGGACAACTGTGGCACGCCAGAGTCCCCCCGCCCCCCCCCGCCGTGCGACTGCACCGCCGACACAGCGCACTCTAGGCACTTGAGCTGAATCGCTGGTGTCAGCAGACTCGTGTACCTGCAGAGCTCCGCCGCCGCCTCCTCCTC